GATTATAATAAAAATATTTTACATTAATATTGGTAAAAGGGTAGTTTATAAGAGTTGAAAATGGCAAAAGTAAAATATTCTTTCATAAACAATATAGGGGAATTTTTATTTTAAATGATTGCACAATTATAGCATTCCAAGATTTAAAACGTAATTTTTTATCACTTTTTTAGCACAGGGGTGATTTATAAGGGTTGAAAAGTGTTATGAGATACAAATTCTTTCATAAGCAATGAGGGAATTTTTATTTTAAGAAATTGTACCGTTAAAACATTCCAAGCTTTTAAAAAGTAATTTTCTATCATTTTTGTCAATACAGGGGTGGTTTTTAGGGGTTGAAAGGGAAACATTCTTTTATTAGATATAAAGTAAGTTTTATTTTAAATAATTGCACGATTTAATCATTCCAAATCTTTAAAAAGCAATTTTGTATCATTATTTTTTGCATAGGGGTAGTTTTTAAGGGTTAAATAAAGGGTCGAAAAGATCAAATATATCATAAAACATGTTCCAGAACATGGAACATTATTTAATCTTTGTGCTTGAAAAAGATTTTTATCAATAAAATGCTTAGAACTTAATTTTTCAATTTTTTTTCACTTAGGGGTAGTTTTTACCCCTAAAAAACAAAAAGCGTCAATCGGACTTATGTCAGTTTTGAACTTGAGCCTAAGATAATCCTTATTCTAAATTTTCATGTAAATCCATTCTGTTTCAAAGAATTTGGATTTTCAGCCTCAATCATTGTACTGAAGATAGAATTCTAATACAGTATACAAACATTTCTTTATTAGATATCGTTTTAATTTTAAGTAGTTAGTAGGAGTAGTTAAATTTAATTGTGCAAATGGTAAATGAAAATTCTGTTTTTGTGTGGTATCGACACTGTGATACTCATTATTTGCTTTTGTGTTTGAATATGTACATACATATAATTATGTTTAAATATATTTCTTCAAGAATAAGTACTGGAAATGCACCCGTTTCAAAATGACAAATTTACAAGATATTTAAGGGGAGAAATAATAATACGAGTGACTTAATAAGAACCGTTGGAATAGCGCCTTTAATTTGAAAACCAAAAAAAGTATAATAGTCAAATGTTACACAAATTTTCTAATAATGTATTGTGCACCTCCCAACAATCTTTCAAAAATTTCTGCCCCTTTAAAGGGGTTGAAATAAGCATACCCTAAGTTATTTTGTGCTTTCTGCTATTTCCGTTTGACAAATATTAAATATTCAAATATTTTTGTGAAAATTCTAAATTTTTTCAACATTTACCAAAGCAATATTTAAAAACTGGTTATAAAGTGTGGCATGTTGCTTATGTACCAAGAAATGATTTTCCTTCTGTTTCCGAAAAGAACCAAGTTTTTTTTCATAACCAAACATTTGTGAATATTTTCAAGTACATACAGTAAGCTCTCATCTTTACAACACTATTATAAAACTATAGAAATAGTACAAATACTATAAGAAAAATTAGGATTTTACGAAAAACTCTAAAATATTTTTTACATCGGCTTTGAACTTTATAAAACAATCCCCAATATAGAAAAAGACACCAGTGAATACAAAACACATTTTCCTACACAAACCGGCACATCAACAGTTATATCAAACGAGACAGAAAAAGCTGTCAAAGAAGACTATGCACCAGAAGAAATTGATGATTTTGTAGAACTGAACCAAAAATCGCAGGTTTGTCCTTCTGTTGTTTTTTAAAACATTCCAAATTTATGTTAATCTCCTTTTTAAACAAAAAGATAAAATTTCAGATTGGTTTTGAACACTTTGAAGACTTCGCCAGAAATGATCCTCCGTATCAACAAACGCACGACATAAACGAATTCGAAAACAAGTACGATCTAGCCCACTTAGCACAACACGCTTCTAGGAATACCGAAAATATTTTTCAAGACTTTGACGATGATAGAATACCGGCAGCTATACAAATTAACACGAATAATCCTTTCGATTTAATAGAAGACACAGATGCTGAACTATGGAGGATGGGCGAAAACGCGCTAGGCCTAGCAGAAACCTCTGTAAGAAATTTTGGAGCAAATCCGTTTGAATCGAGCGACGACGAAGTGGAAATAAGGTTCGGCGATGGTACTATAAGTATGGTGCAGAATAACTGGAGAAATTCGACAAGAAATCCCTTTGAAACCATTGAGGAGTCGATGGAAAAAAGGCAACTGGACGATGAGGCTTTATTTATCGTACAAAACGCTTCAAGAAATTACGCTACAAACCCATTCGATGTGCTTGAGGAAGATGAATTGAGACAGATGGGGGTTGATGCATTAAGCATAGCGCAAACTGGTGCTAGGAATGTTGAGGCTACAAAACGACGACTTAGTGAGAATGCCGAGGACATAGATAATGCTTTTAACAGTCTAATAGATTACGCAGAGCTGCAAAATCCGGTAATAGAGGTAACTACTTAACAAAAAATAGGTCATAGAATAATTTTTAAATGTACTTGTTCTTTTTAAGATTGGTTTTGATCATCTCCAACACACAGTAGGAGAAATTGGGGATGCAGATGAAAAAGTGACACCAACTGAACTGAAGAAAAATTAGAATTTACTGTAATTATATCTTTTATCCGAATTGCTGCACATGATTTTATACATTTATTATATATATTTTCCTAGTCATTTTTATAACAAATACAAAACTTTAAACCCTAATATTTAAATATTAATATTGTCATTTAAATGTATCAGATCACTATATATTTTTTTATTTATTATTTACTATGTAACAATCATTACTTACGGAATAAATATTATACCTACACCAAAAGTTGCACGTTCATTTTTAAATCTCAAATCAACATACTCAATTTTTTTATATTAGGAACAAAGCAATATGTCAGATGTAAAAACCAATAAGGCAAATAGGAAAAAAATAAGGAAAGGAAAATAACTTACCAGTTCGTCTTTAATATAAATTTATTTTTCTTATTACATATATCTCATCTTACCATCAAGCTTAATAAATACGGCAACAAAATCCAATGATTCATCTCTGACTGGTATCTCTAGGGCGGTAAACGATGCCCCGACTTTTCATTTCCCTTATAATACCATTTGGTAATCGTCCAGATACGGATATAGCATAGACACCTTTACAAAAGCGATCTGGAACAATAAAGATAATAAATAATTTACGTTACGAACAATCTCGTAATTAACTTACTTATTCTTTGCCACTTAGCCACCCAACTGTCCTCAGGGCTCATCATCGATATCATTCTGTAAATGCATATCATTAAGAATTCATTTATATATTGATAAATAAAACAACTTACCCATCAAAGTTAGAACTTGTACAGTCATACACGTTATCTCGATTGTTCTTCATTCTTAAGAATNATTATAAAACTATAGCAATAGTAAAAATACTATAAGAAAAATTAGGATTTTACGAAAAACTAAAATATTTTTTAGATTGGCTTTGAACATTATAAAACAATCCCCAATGTAAAAAAAGACACCAGTGAATACGAAACACGTTTTCCTACACAAACCGGAACAACTACAGTTATATTAAACGAGACAGAAAAAGCTGTCAAAGACCACGCACCAGAAGAAATTGATGATTTTGTAGAACTGAACCAAAAATCGCAGGTTTGTCCTTCTGTTGTTTTTTAAAACATTCCAAATTTATGTTAATCTCCTTTTTAAACAAAAAGATAAAATTTCAGATTGGTTTTGAACACTTTGAAGACTTCGCCAGAAATGATCCTCCGTATCAACAATCGCACGACATAAACGAATTCGAAAACAAGCACGATCTAGCCCACTTAGCACAACACGCTTCTAGGAATACCGAAAATATTTTTCAAGACTTTGACGACGATAGAATACCGGCAGCTATACAAATTAACACGAATAATCCTTTCGATTTAATAGAAGACACAGATGCTGAACTATGGAGGATGGGCGAAAACGCGCTAGGCCTAGCAGAAACCTCTGTAAGAAATTTTGGAGCAAATCCGTTTGAATCGAGCGACGACGAAGTGGAAATAAGGTTCGGCGATGGTACTATAAGTATGGTGCAGAATAACTGGAGAAATTCGACAAGAAATCCCTTTGAAACCATTGAGGAGTCGATGGAAAAAAGGCAACTGGACAATGAGGCTTTATTTATCGTACAAAACGCTTCAAGAAATTACGCTACAAACCCATTCGATATGCTTGAGGAAGATGAATTGAGACAGATGGGGGTTGATGCATTAAGCATAGCGCAAACTGGTGCTAGGAATGTTGAGGCTACAAAACGACGACTTAGTGAGAATGCCGAGGACATAGATAATGCTTTTAACAGTCTAATAGATTACGCAGAGCTGCAAAATCCGGTAATAGAGGTAACTACTTAACAAAAAATAGGTCATAGAATAATTTTTAAATGTACTTGTTCTTTTTAAGATTGGTTTTGATCATCTCCAACACACAGTAGGAGAACTTGGGGATACAGATGAAAAAGTAGCGCCAACTGAATTGGAGAAAAATGAGAATTTACTGTAATTATAACTTTTATCCGAATTGTTGCGCATGATTTTATACACGTTTATTATATATATTTTCCTAGTTATTTTTATAACAAATACAAAACTTTAAACCCTAATATTTGAATATTAATATTGTCATTTAAATGTATCAGATCACTATATATTTTTTTATTTATTATTTACTATGTAACAATCATTACTTACGGAATAAATATTATACCTACACCAAAAGTTGCACGTTCATTTTTAAATCTCAAATCAACATACTCAATTTTTTTATATTAGGAACAAAGCAATATGTCAAATGTAAAAACCAATAAGGTAAATAGGAAAAAAATAAGGAAAGGAAAATAACTTGCCAGTTCGTCTTTAATATAAATTTATTTTTCTTATTACATATATCTCATCTTACCATCAAGCTTAATAAATACGGCAACAAAATCCAATGATTCATCTCTGACTGGTATCTCTAGGGCGGTAAACGATGCCCCGACTTTTCATTTCCCTTATAATACCATTTGGTAATCGTCCAGATACGGATATAGCATAGACACCTTTACAAAAGCGATCTGGAACAATAAAGATAATAAATAATTTACGTTACGAACAATCTCGTAATTAACTTACTTATTCTTTGCCACTTAGCCACCCAACTGTCCTCAGGGCTCATCATCGATATCATTCTGTAAATGCATATCATTAAGAATTCATTTATATATTGATAAATAAAACAACTTACCCATCAAAGTTAGAACTTGTACAGTCATACACGTTATCTCGATTGTTCTTCATTCTTAAGAATTCATCACAATTATCACAGCCTTCACACTCGAACTGTTCAAAGGACTGGAAAATAAAACATTAGGCCAAACCATTCTAAACTTTGTCTATTAGTGTATTTACCTTTATCAATGAGCATACCAAACAAGCTCTTAAGCCTCTTAAATCCTTTGGAATCGTCTCTAAAGTCATTTTAATGGTATAATTATATATTAATTAATTATTTTTCACATATGAACAAGAACATTGAACAGTAAAAATGACAAACCCCACTAATTTCCTTTCCTCGAAAACGCCACTATATTACTACCAACTACACAAAAACAAAATGTAAATTTTGTTGTCAACTATTGTTTACTAAAACAAATGATTTATTCATCAGTATGAGCTTAGATCAATTTGAGCAACTATTAATAGTTGGCTGTTAACAGCAAGATTTTCAGGATTTCCATAGAATTATTCGAGATTGTAACAAACTATTAGGCTGACTAACTAACTGAATACATTTATTTATTTTTTGTAAGTAAAAATTGTAATGTATTAGTTAAAATCACAAAACGGATAATATAATACTGGTATTTTTAAACAAGGGCCTCATGGCCCTACTAAACATAACAAACGCGACACTCAGACTAAGACACTTCCCTACCCGCTGGAAAAC